AACAACAACAACAACATTAATCTACATAGGAGCTCTGGTGGTGTAGTGGTTACGAATCGGGCTGCAAACCGCAAGGTCAGTAGTTCGAAACTGCCAGCTGCTCCATGGGAGAGAAATGAGGTTTTCTGCTCCCGTAAAGATTTACAGCCTCGGAGACCCTGTTCAGGGTCACTATGGGTCGGAACCGACTCAACGGCACTTAACAACAACAACATTAATCTACATGCAGAAATTATAATCCATCTGAATTCAAGATTTAATACTTGTATTTGTAATGATGTTCTCATCTTCAAGTAAACAAATGCTAAATGATAATAGCTTTAACATTAAGGACACATTTTTCACATAATATGTGCAAAGATTAGTAGTTCTAGTGTTGTTATTATATCTTCACATTATCTTCAAGGACTGTACTCTTCTTGGTTTTCTTGTTTGTGTTGGTGATCTGTCCCCTTCTAATTGCAGTGTGACTTGTTGCAGAGGCAAATACCATGTTTTCACCAGATGAGTCCAGTGGTATAAGGAAGGGATTGGGATAAAAGGGCTTATGATTACTCTCTCTTTTGTTAGAAGATGAAACTCTTTCCCAGAGATTTCTTCTTTATGTTTTATTGACTATAACTGGGTTACATTCCTCCCCAACTAGTTATCATCAGCAAAGGGAAATGAGATAGAAATTGACTTGATTGGTTTATGACAGCTATAATTCATCCTGTTATCCTTCAAAGATGGATGTCCATTAGCAAGTTAGAAGTGGAGATGTTATTGAGTAATAAATAATATTGTCTCTTTGGATATAACCAAAATAAGAACTGCATATTTATGAAAGATAAATTTTCTTTTGTGGAAAGGAATCTAGAAGTTGCATGATATTTATTATAATGAAACAATGAGTAGATTTAGAGAGAAGAAGTCAAATAATTGTTTTGTTCATTTTCAAGAGGATCCTGAAACTCTTAGTGGGTAAGAAAATTAATTCAAGAATTGGAATAATTATGGTAATGTGAGTTTCATTTTTTGTTTTTTAGTCAGAATCTGGAGACTTGAACAGAAACACAGAACTAAAGAAACTTCAGATTTTTGGGGCTGGACCAAAGGTTGTGGGCCTGGCAATGGGAGCAAAAGATAAAGAAGGTAAAATCTTTATTTGGTCATGAAAGGAAGTAACATACCATGGCTTGCCTGTAACAGGATTCAAATGATATTCAAATTGCAGCCTACCTTGGGAATGTCTTTAAGAATAGTAAAGTTGGAGCATGGTTCTTAGGTAAATTGCCTTTTT